TGTACAATATAAGAGCGTGGAGTACCAGCATGCTTTACAACTTTCCCTGGTACCCAGATCTTTTCTTTTTTAATTAAAATATTTTGATTAGAATTGAAATCTGGTCTCTGCTTAGAATTATTATCATAATACATTTTGGACTGATCATTTCTTTTTCTTAACATCTCTGTAGTATTTCCAACAAGAGAAGGTTTCAAGAGAGTTTTCGATACTGGCAGTGAAGTTCTTGATATTCGGCTACAAAGAAGTTCTGCTGGTGATTTATCTATGCCACAAAGAGGTGTGGTTCTGTAATCTAGTAAGAATTGTGTTACATCTGTGTTGGTTTCCTTGCTCTTTTTCAACATCATTTTGCAAATGCCGACGGATTTTTCGGCTAGACCATTAGACTTTGGATATCTAGGACTAGAAAAAATAAGTTTCATATTATTATCACTAGCAAACTTTTTGAACTCTGCGCTATTGTATGGAACATTATCGGACATAAACAAAGATGGTATACCATGTGTGGAAAAAATTTCTTTCAAATGTCTGATTATTTCACCCATTGATTTATTATCAAATTTTTTTAGCTCAATCCATCTGCTGTAATAATCTACCAATACTAAATATGACTTTCCTCCAAATTCCAACATGTCAGATGCCACTTTTTCAAAAGGGATTTCAGGTATCTCATGGGATATCAATGGTTCTTTGATATTTGCTCGACCAAATTTTTCACAAATTTTGCATCGAGTTATAAGATTTTCAATTTCTACCGACATCCCTGGCCAGTAAAATAATTTCCTACCACGACTTTTAGTTTTTTCTATCCCAAAATGTGACTTATGCAATTGATTTAACATGTATCCACGTAAAACTTCAGGAATAATAATTTTTTTCTTTGTAGAATAGAATTCCGTCCCTACTTGTTATTTCCTCTTTCAGTTTATGATAATGTTTCAATTCAGTTGAGTCTCCTTTCCAATTTTCAGGCCATCCCTCTATACTATATTTCTTTAATTTCTTAAGTACATCGTCTGTCTCTGTTTTCAACCTTATTTCATTCATTCTTTCGTCTTTAATCGGCAATTTTACTTCCAAACAATGAACAGTGAAATTCATTTCTGGATCATCCACTACTTTGTCCTTCAAGAACGATCTTGAAAGAAAATCTCTTTACCTGGAGTATATTCAATTGTGAAATTATAATTCAAACTTTTTAGTTTTAACCTCTGTAGTCTTGATGTGACCTTGTTCATATCTTTTTGATTTACGGCCACCAATGGCTTGTGATCTGAAATCACTAATACTTGTTTACCATATGTGAAATGATGAAACTTTTCTAAACAAAAAATTATCGCCAGATATTCTTTTTCGATTTGAGCCCAGCGCTTTTCTGTCTCAGTTAAACTGCGTGAACAATACCCAACAGGACGCCCGTTTTGTAACAGGCAGCCTCCTATGCCATTCTGACTAGCATCTGCTTGAATTGACACTTCAGGAGAAGAATCAAAAATTTTCAATGTTGGTATGTTGCTCATTGAGTTTTTTAATTTATGAAATGCTCGTTCTTGTTCATAACCCCATAAAAATTCAACATTATTTTTTATTAACTTTCTCATTGGCGCACTTATCTCAGCTAAGTTTGGTAAAAATTTAACCAAATAATTTACCATACCCAGTAGCCTCAACAACTCTTTTTTATTTGTTGGTGGTTCTAAAGCTATTACAGCCTTCAAGTAATCTGGATCTGGTTTTTCCCCTTCCCCAGAGAACTCCTTGTCAAGGTACTTTACTTTCTTTACTTAATATTGCAGTTTTTCGGCATTGAACTTTATACCATATTCTCTAGCCCTATTCAAGAATTTTTTCATTATTTCATCATGCTCTTTTTCATTTCGCCCTGCAATTATGCAATCATCAAAATAAACACCTACCCCTAAATCACCAAATATCTTTTCATTAGTTTTCTGAAATACCTCAGGGCTAACATTCACACCAAAAGGTAATCGCGAGAATTTATATTTTCCTAAAGGAGTAATAAAGGTACATATGTCTGTACAATTTTCAGTCAAGGGTATTTGATAGAATCCATCCTTCATATCTAATACACTGAAGATAACTTTTCCTTTTAATTTCAAGCCTATTTCTTCTGCAGTTGGAATCGGATGTTGATCCAAACATATATTTTTATTTAATTGTTGTGGGTCAAGGCATATCCTCAATTTTTCATTAGATTTTTCTTTAATGACTATATTATTTACCCATTCTGTTGGTTTGTCTACTCTTTTAATTATCTCTTTTCTCTCTAAGTCTTCTAGTGTTTCTTTTAATTTTTCTTTAATTTTCTCAGGAACCCTTCTACAAGGACTTGAAAATGGATCATAATTCTGTTTGAGCTTTATTTCGTAATTTATTGGAATTTTCCCTACTCCTTCAAACAAATCTTTATTTTTTTCAAGGAACTCATTTTTTCTGTCTCCTATTTCCATCACAACTTTTTCACCTTTTTGCTCTCTCAAAACCTTATCCTGTGAATCCTTAGTTTCAACTCTTTTCATTAAGTCTAATTTTATACATGCATTTAACCCTAATATTGGTTTTGAACTGACATCAACAAAAATGAACTTAATTCTACATGTTTTACCCTGTACTACACAGTATGTTGTTAGATTTCCTACTGTTTTTATTTTATTATTACCATAAGCAACTATGTTTTCTTCAAAAATTTTTAGTTCATCTTCCATTTTCAACATTTTTACATACCTCAAAGGTAAAACATTACATTGACTCCCTGAGTCTAACTTAAAATCTATGTCCCTGTCTCTTATTTTTATGGTTTCTTCCCAGAAATACTTATTATTATTATTTATGTTATCAATCTCGATGTAATCTATATAAAAATCATCTTCACTTTCTGTGATCTCATTAACATTTTTATAGAACTTTTTCCTATCATTATTTCTCCCTTCAACCCTAGATTTAGTAGTGTCTATAATTGTATGGTTTTTCCTGAAATTATTTTTAATTCTACATCCTATTTCGAAATGATTGAAACGGTTGCACCTTCTGCATTGTTTTTCATAAGCTGCACACTCACCTCGTCGATGTAGTTGTCCACACTTTAGACAACTGTGGGCCTGTCCACCTGGCTATACTTTCTTCATGGTTCCTGTATATTTTACCATGTTTACTTCCCCACCTTGAAGACTTTTAACTTGCAATTGACTTGCTTCATAGGCTCTACACAAGTTTTCTGCTTTTTCCAGCTTCAAGTCAGTCACACCTAGCATCTTCTCCTGTAGACGTAGATCTCTCATTCCGATTATTAAAATGTCCCTAGTCAAAGACTCTTCTTGATCCCCAAAGTTGCAGTTCTTTGACATTATTTTCAATTCTTCAATGAAGTGGTCCATACTCTCACCTTCTTGCTGTTTTCTTGAGAAAAACTTGAACCGTTCATATGTCTCATTGTTTCTTGACTTGCAGTACAAATCAAAGGACTTTACTACGGTTTCATAGTCTTTTCTTTCATCATTTGTGAGGTTAAACGTGCTGTACGCCTCTATGGCTTCCTTACCTGCTAGATTAAAAAATATTGCTATTTTTCTTTCCTGGTCATCACTACGTATATTAGTGGCTTTTATATAGATTTCGAACCTCTGCTTGAAACGCTCATAATTAGTGGCAATATTTCGGTCGAATACCAACGCCGATGGTGGTTTCAGCGATGTTTCCAGCGACATTTTTATTCCAATTTATTACTTCGCTTCCCGCGTGCTTTTTAGTTTTTACTTTCTTATCATTAGCAGTACTTACAGCAATGTTTTTTTCACACCTGACACTATGTTTCAGCCAGCCACGCTGAATTATTAATATTCTTTATTAATTAAATACACTGCTGTGCTTTTACTTATTTTATTAGGAGCAATCATCAATCATCTGAACATGGATGGAAATACATTTTTATAGGTATCTAGTCATGTCATGTCAACCTCTACACGTCATTGATCACATGACACAGAACACTTTTATTGACAGTTAACCAACTAATACTACAACCACTGATCACATACATTTAAGGCATGTTTACACAACATTCTAATATGTGACACCATACTCCTCACACTCTCCGAGGAAGTAAAGTGATGTCTCCTCATCTTCTCCGCATTCGCGGCAAGTGGGATCATCTTCCACACCTATGAGTGATAGGTGCCTGCGTAACCTGTTGTGCCCTGTCAGTATCCCTATAAGAAGGCGCAGGACTTGGCGATCCCTGCCCAGTAACCAAGCCGTCTTTGGCTTGCTTGGACCGGCCACCAGGTCTCTCGATTGCCTGCAGCTGCCTATACGTCTCCAATATACTTCTAGTGCCTCGTCCGCCTATTTGTTGAGGGCAGACGAAGTTTGGCTTCTTGTTATGCCCAGTGCAGGCTCCGGCCCCCAGAACGGTGTCGTGGATCCGATTCTGGCCATCGAGCATGTCTAAATATTTCTAATACTCTATAACAAAGGAATAATATGTGAATGTTAGAAACATCGCAACATTTTGCTGAATGCTGAGAGCTGACAAGACCACGCCCATACTTCGTGCGCTGTTGTTGTCACGTTTACACGAGCGTTTACCGGTTAAAATGTTTTCTAGTGTGAATCAATATGATAATTAATGTTTAATAACCAATAATAAGTCACAGCATAATAGGAAACATTCTGAGACAATCGACTTTTCAATGTTGATTAGGAATATTACCAATACATAATTGAGAATATATGGATTAATGAATATTCTAGTGATGATTCTATTCGAGAAATAAAAAAAATCAGTCCACTTGCCTATTGATTGTGAGTTAATCCAACGTAACTTGAATTCATCAATTCTGGAATTCACTTTCCTGGAACTGGTTAATTCGAAATGAATGACCTTAGCGAATTATTACAGTCTGAGACGCTTCTTCTCCTAATTGCCTCATTATGCGATTCAACGTAGTAGGATATACCGATAATTCAGGTTTTTCTAGTTGTTAACAGATGGCATAACCAATAAATTGGTAGGATGCAAACCTGAGGATGCTGATGAGGAAGAAACTGTGCTGGTGAGGGTGTATGGAAATAAAACAGATCTGCTCATAGATAGAGAAGCTGAAACTAGGTAAGAATGGCATACTTTTTGTGATTATAGATAATTGGAAATTATTATAACATTATAATCTTGATAATATACTTCCAATTGAGAATGAAACTTTGATATGCAACATATCCAGGTAGTTGAAGGTAATAGTTAGCTGATGAATTATTCCTGAGCCTCATCGAGAGGCAACACCTTTTTGGTAGTCTCTAGCTCCTTTTCTCTGAGATCTATTTAGAATTTGATTCCATCCATGATGATTAGTAGACAGTATAAGTAGTTCGCCTACTATGAGACTCAGCATCAAAGTTGATAATACTCCTCCTTGTGTACAACCAGTACGTGCTGATCTGAAAACTGATGCTCGTTGCAGATTTTCTTGTCGCCACCATTTGGCATATCAACGTGTCGATTTCCTTGGTCTTCAGAGCATTTTGAATAACTGTATGAGAGATATGGTCGAATGCTCGCTTCATATGTGAAAAGGCGCCCATGGCAATTTCTTCATGCTCGAATGACAAAAATAGCGGTTTTCGTCGATCTGTCCACTTTATATGCGTGCTGTCCGAGGTGAACTGTCAATCTTTCCGATATCTGGCTTTTCATATTATTATATACGATCTTCCTAGGTGTCTTCAGTGAGAAGGATGAGATACAGATTGCTCTGAACGAATTCAGGAGGCTGAGATCCTTCTTCCTCACTTCATAGATGAACATCATCCGTATTCAAGTATCAAGTATTTTGACTAGTTAGTAGTTAAATCACCGCCAGTCAGGCAATCAGCTTCTTTCGTTCCCCACCGAGATGGGTACTTCAGTTTTGGATTGTTCTTTTTATTCTGCTCTTGATGTCGCTCTTTTATAATGTCATTGAGAAGAGTCTATGAGCGGATGAAATTTTGTTGGGTCAGAATCCGCTTGGATGGCGGACTTAGGATTGCTGACTGGTGACTACCCTACCCTGATGAGTCAGAAACTTGAAACCGGTCTCTAGGTTTGAATGGAACGGGCTTTCATTCAATGATGAAATAATTGTTTCTGAGGAGAATAAAATGATGATGTATTCGAAACAATACTGTTCTGTTTTTTATTTCAGATAAACATTAATTATGGAACATTCTTTTTTTCCATGAATTCCCAATATACATTTGTTAGAAACAATCATTCCATCACTGAATAGAAGTCCGCACTATTGAGCGTGCTATGTGACTGATGCGCGAGGCGCGCTGTTCTATCAACTGCTGACGACGTATGTTAAGGAAAAATTCGGGCTGACTTCACAACATCCACAACATTCTTCAGTATATAGAGAAATATATAGAGAGATATAGAGAGATATAGAGAGATATATAAAGAGAAAAAAAACCATAGAAAAAGATAATGTATATCGAAAACATGCTAATAATCAGCATCAAAGAAGGGTAGGTATGTAATGATGAGTATAAACAAATGGGTTCCATGAATGAATATTAACATTGTTATGGTTATAATCATGCCAGTATTGAATGTTTTCACAAAGCAAATAGATGTGAACTGTGTTGAAGAATAATTGATATCGCAGAAATTTTTTAAAAAAACCCGAAACGTAAAAAAATGGCCTGGAAGAAAATGAGGAATCAGAGAGCAATGAGAATGTTTTTACAAAGCAAATAGATGTGAATTGTGTTGAAGAATTTGTGATATTTCAGATTTTTTTATGAAAACGCTGAACGTGAAAATGTCTTGAAAGAAAATGAGGAATCAGAGAGCAGATATTGATTTGATTGATATTGGATGTTTTCACAAAGCGAATAGATGTGAGCTGTGTTCAAGAATTTGTGATATTTTAGAGATTTGTTATAAAAACCCGTAACGTAAAAATGTTTTGATAGAGAATGAGGAATCAGAGAGCAAAGATTAATTTGATTTCGCGATATCCTGAGAAATATGTCATTGATGTATTCAGTTGAACACATCAAGGATATAACAATTCATTCAATGTAAATGTTTATATGTATAATAGAGAATTGCCAATGACAATGTTTGAAATTTTTTTCTCGAATTTCTGGTTCTTGAACGATGCAGCTGTTTCGAAAGGATAAGATGAAACTATCATAACACCAAGTGACCAAGAGGATATATTGAAGCAGATATAAGCTATCAAGAAATTTCTAGACGCATAAAATTTCACATTGTGTAAAATATAGAACCAAATCTACTAGGATGTGATTGAATCGCCTAAAATTGAAGTAGTTAACTCCGTTGAAGAAGAAATTCAGGTAGAACATTTGATTGATAAGTATCCAAGGGTGTTCAATGACAAATTAGGAGAATTCGAATGGTCAGAAGTGTCTCTGAACGTGAAAGAAAACACCAAGCCAATATTTCTTGAATATGGAAATGGTTCTCTAGCTTTCGAAGATAAAATGGATCAAGGGTTATCAAGATGAGAAAGAGTGTTATAAATCATGTTGAAAGCATTGAATGGGCTATATCAATAGTCCCATTTTTTCAAGGAAGAGAATAGCATCAGATTATGTGGGAATCATTGAAGTACGGTCAACCCCCATAAGTTTTAAAATAATCGAGGCCTAAAATTGAAGAAAATTATGCAAAATTCAATTGGGAAAAGTTTTTCAGTACGATCGATTTAGTGAAAGATTATAATCAGTTTTTAGTAGATGACTTTTCTAGTGGAATTTTCCCTTGGAATACTTATATACTCACCGGGAATTATACTTGGTGGAAGGCTTGCCTCTTGGCTTCAAAACTATGAGCAATATTTTACAAAAGTTACAGGACAGTTTATTGCAAGTTATAGACGGAGTAGTAAATTCCATCGATGATATCGTAGTAACTGGTGGAAATGACATGAAACATATTGAAAATCTTGAAAAAGTATTTGCAAAATTCGAGGAAGCAGGATTAACTGTGAAAAAAATTGCAAGTTTCTCCATGAAGGGGTGAATTATTTAAGACTTTGTAATTCGAAAGAAGGTTTAAAAGAAGCACAAAATAAAATTGGAATAGTTTTTGGGGCTACAAGACCTACTCACATAACAAAAGTGGAAAGTTCTACTGAATCAGTGAATCATTACAATGAATTGAATGACAATTTACTGAAACCCATTCATGAAATATCAGAAGCAAATAAAAAATTCTTTTGTCCTGAAAAATGTGATAGATCATTGAAACAAATACTGCATCAAACACTTGTTCAACACATTTCGATCCTGAATTGCTGATTATTTTAAAAATAGATGCTTGAATCAGGAATCAGTGGATATATATCACATTTGAAGAACGAGAAAGAAATAATAATAGCTTGTACATCATGGATAATGCCGAATAAAATTAGGTACGGTACTATTGACGATGGAGCATTGAGTTCAGAATATTGTGCGAGGAAATTTCAGCAATACTTGATATGCCAAACAGTCATTTTCAGAACTGATCATGAGCCGTTAGTGGCTTTGTTCGGAGACAATAAGTGTTTGCCTCAGATGGCAGCAAGTAGGCTGCAGCGCTGGGCGGTGTACTTATCAGAATTCAATTGATCAATTCAACATAATAAGTGAATTATTCATCCAAAGCGCAGTCTGACGCAGGTTTATATATAAATTTAATTGAAACAGATTAATGGCTTATCGATGATGAAGAAATCAGAAACGAAACATCAAGAGATGACATTTTGAGTAGGGTGGTGGAATTTGTTCAAAACATAAAATAGCCAAAGCGTCTTGAGGAAGAATTTGAACCATATCATCATAAGTGGGAGAACAGTTAACAGCAAATAGCAGTATTTCGATGTGGGGATATCGCATAGTGAAGTTATTCCAAGTTCATTAGGAGAGAGATTATTAAATTAAATTCATACCAGTGATTTTGGCATTGTTCTCACAAAATCTTCAGCTAGATCCGTGATGTTTTGGCCAGAATGTGATATTGATATTGAAAAATCGTCGAGATGTTGTAAGCCGAGTCTAAATTGACATGACCCACCTAAAAATGAACCAATAGTTCGGACTGAGATGAATCGAGTATTTGATATAATTCTTGTTGATCATCTGAGTCCGATGCTGAAGAACATTATCAGACAAATAGCACATAACAATGGTTTTGCTTTTCACCTTATTGATAAAATCTTCAATCGTCCTCTAAACAAGGTTGCTAATCGTAGTTTATAATCGATTGATAATCAAAGTGTAGAGAGTACGAAATAACTAAACTTTTTATATTTTTGAATTAATGTTTTTCTGACTTTTTATTTGAGAGTCAATAATAATAGTTATTTATGTATCAAGGGCGTAAAGTAGGCGTTTATGGCCTGTGGCGTGAATAATGGCCCGATGGCGCTAGCCGAGGGCCATTACACGCTGAAGGCCATAAACGCATTTCACGCACGTGATACATACAACATTTTATGCACTAGTGGTTCATTTCCTGACTCAAAAGTGATGACTATAGATTTCGATAAACTAATATTCCCCCGAATTTGATTTGTTACGTATAAATTCAGTAATCAAGAGAAGCGTAATGTTCATGGATGATTTACATATGAAAATTATCGTACGAATATTGCAATTATCGTAATAGTAAAATTCTTTGATCTCTAGAAGTGATTAATTTTTCAGAATTTTACAATATGCATACCCAGTATATATACCTAACTAATTTTGACGTTGTCAATCAAGCTGATGGTTGTTGTCTATAGCAATACATCCAATAAACGAGCTGAATTGTCATTCTTTGACTGAAAAGTAAAAATTACTGATAATAATAATAGCGAGATATGGAATCCCAGCAAACATTTTGATATGGGGCATCAATGGCCTTATATATTTTTCCCATACCTGACTTCAGCGGTCCAGTAAATTGTCCCATAGGCGGGACTCTATATATCAGTATACTGCGGCCGGCAGCTGGTCCCAGTGCTGGGTACCCAGCAATCATATTCAGTTTCCCGGCAAAAGACCAGTACAACATAATCGACACATTGAGTTTCCTATAGCAAGCCCAGCATTATACATGAATGATGGGACTCT